CTGTTACGCGCTCACGCGCGCACGCGCGTTGTCGTTTCGGGATCACGTCGGAGAAACGTATCGAGAGTCGTTAGCGCGCTCATCAATCAGCCCGTTCCACGGATGATGCGCAAAACACGCGTGTTATCGCGCGCGGCGTACCCGCCAACGGGCGACCGCGCGACTAATGATTTCTCACCGTACCACACCCCCCCACCCCGAAGCCGAGACCCGCAAGACGTCGCTCTTCGGAAACTACGCGTTTCGTAATATACGGTGCGTGCGTGCGTGCGTGCGTGCGTGTACAATATATACGTTGTGTAACCTGCGCACACCCTGCGCCTCGGAGCGGCATTACCTGCAGGCGTGTACACGCGCAGCGCCGCACGCGAGCGCGGATCGTCAGCCTCTATTCGACCGCGGCCGCGGGATAGGTCTCGAAATCAATAACGTGTTATTATTTGAATATTTAAAACACGAGTCGAGTTGTCTCAGTTGTATACATATGTACAAAAAAAAATGATATTTCGGTATACGAGGGCCGCGCGCACATTGTATGCGAATTTGTTTCGTACGAAAACGTACGGGATTGATTGCGCGCGCTGAATACGTTTTTCGTTTATTTGTTTTCCGTAAAACAGTCAGTGTTCCGGCGATGTCGCGATCGCGACGTCCTTATCACCTTGGAACCTTGTGGTCATAACCTTATTATCGACCAGACATTATTATCAGAACGCGATGGATAATCGGTACCTTCGAGATAATTCTCTTCCTCGTCCGTCGTCATTGTCGTACGGACGTAATCCGAAAATCCGGACGGGTTCGGATTGTTTTCGTACGTCAGAGTCACACGTACGTGTAAAAATGCGTACGAACGAATCGCACCCGGTCCGCGCGCTCACGCACAGTATTCGGTAGGCCGGGATCGTCCGTGCGTGCGCGTACACGGTCGCGCGAATCAAACTCGTGCGAAAACGCATCCGGTGTGCGCGCGGCCTTGCGCGTTGCATATGCTCGCCAATTTCAATCTTGTCATGTCATTTGTGCGCACGGCAATAGTACAATAGTACAATTGGTTTCGTAGCGCGCTGTAGGCACGCAATATCGTTATAGCTTTAAAAAATGTCGAAGAATTCTCAAAAAAATGCCTCGAAAATGCGTACCCTTTTTACGGGGTCTGTTATACCTACCGGTCGGTCTAGAGAAATGATAACAATTCTGAAAACCGATTTGAATTTGTCGCCGTGTCTACTTGAAATCGAATTTCCTACGTTTTTGATTTTATCCGCCTGTAAATCCTAAAATAGCCGTAACATAAGAGGAGTAATTGAAAAAGGAATGTTATAGTTTGTTGATAAATTAAAATCAATAGTCATTAAGTGGGAAAGTCGATTTTAAGAAGACTTGACGACCAATTCATATCTGTTTTCCTGAATTCTCGTAGCTTCACTAGACCAATCGGTGCGTCGGAAATAGAACTCGTCTAAAAATATCTATTATACACGTGTGTAATACAAAACCGAAAAGTCACCGTGACCAATCCCCTTAAAGCTAATATTCGTTATCATAATTGTTAATCGTACTGAAAATGAAATCTATATATTAATTTGAAACGTGTTTTTACTGTATCCGCTAAATTGAGAGAACGGCTAGGTGTAAAACATTTGGTTGAGGTGTCTAAAAGTAAGTCTAGGTCTGTAGATGTGTCATCAAAAGAGAAAAATTAAAAAAAAGTCGAACGGTTCCCCCCTGGAAGTCGATAAATCATTACTTCCGTGGTCGGCTAACACGCGGTCTGCAATAAATTTTTATTAGTCAAAAAACATTTATTCCGTCGTGGTTGACCACTATGTAACTTTTTTTCATTTCTTCAGTGGGGAAAATTGTATTATTATTATTATTATTTAACTGTAATAGGGATAACGGTCAGCCCGGTGAATACCGGGTAATTCGGCTAGCGTATAGACAATATAGAGCATGTTGTCACACTATGCGACGTCTAAGCGATAATACCTGCGGTAATATTATCATTATTCACCTGTACGTGTTATAAAAAATTATATATTTCTTTATACGTACACATCACGAGTGAAAAAAAAAAAACCATTGTAACATCTCGTATATAGTGTATACAGTATGCCTACCTATATAATATATTTCCCCCCTCCTTTTTTTTTTATCTCGCCAGAAAACGTATAATTAATTGCCCGCAACGCCCACGTCGCCGTAAAAAGAGCAAAATACCATACTCAGAATAATAAACTACCTACCTATGAGCATTTTTTTGTTTTACATGAAAATATAAAATTCTATAAATAAATTTAGCGGGAAAATATCGTGGTATGCATATTTCATGAACGAATATAATAATACTCGCTATAAATCCATGCACATAATTCGCGTAGTGGAAATTACACGCGTGGAGGCTTACAAGGTATAAAAAAAAAAAAAAAACATACCCTTAGGTACACTATAATATTATAAAAAACCGTGTGCCGGAAATAGATAATATAAAGCCAAACAGAAAGTATAAACGATTTATATTTTATCGGTATCTGTTATTATTATACACACCGTCACAACTGTAGAAACCCATAGGTAAGCTGACGAGTCTTGAGTTAAACGTATTTTCTAGGTATTAAATTAAAAAAAAAAAAAAATGGTAAGATAATGGAGACGGGTGCAGCAACTGGTGTAGGCGGAAAGTTAGGAATATAGGATATAGACGAGAATTTAATGTGTGTCTGTAAGCGACGATTAACCATTGCGTCCGCACAGTCCGTCAGTAAATTCGTTATATTGTACGGTGAACACAGAGCTCGAATCGGAAAAATTAAAATAAGAGAGACTATAAGAATTATTGAATTCAATCTAACCCTTGGGGCTTCACCCCCGACATCTTTTGTACCAATTTTCTTAAACATAATTCACTTGCGAAAAAAAAAACAACAACAACACTGTAGCTCGTGCAGGCCAAGTTCGTGCTTACAATATATTTATTTTTGATTTTACTATGATATGTGTTTTTATTTTTCTGTCTGTAAACTACTTTCTAAAGCTTCCTCCGATCGTCAACTTTAGTCAGTGCAATGAGGAGATCACTGTTTAAATTTTCTAGGTAGTATTTTCAATAACGGAGCAACCCGAAAAAAACGCCGGGAAAACTGTAATATTTATACTATAACGATTTCTGTTGTATTCGATTAGGTTTTTTGTTGCAATTTAGCGAAAATTAGCCGTAGTCCAAAAATGTCACTGAATACTTACATATCCTCTCTTAAACGTAGCTCATTATAGACGCGGTACAAATTTTTAAACATTCCGGCAATTTTTCAGTTATTCATAGCCAATTAAAATTTTAGAGTATTTTAGGTTTTCATTTGGTTTTAAGGGATTAAAATTGTTTCGCCCAACGCAAACGCTCAATAATGTAACACGAGGTTTATTATGAGTTAATTATAATTTGCGATAAAAAAAAAAAAATCGAGCGTAATGTAATAATTAATTTTTTTTTTTTCGTATTGAACGTTCAACGTTCACGTTTTAATGAAAATACATTTTGATGAAATTATCAAAATATGCGCACCGTCCCGCGCGTGCCATTTAAAACAAATAGTAGTGGTACGTTAAAATGTCTGCGGTAGAGGTACGAGGTACGGAGTCCCCCGGCGTTCCCTTCCAATTCGAACACTGAATCAGTACACGCACACACAAATATACATCATTTTTTTACACCACTTATACTACTATACGTATATATGTAATACTATCGGTATACGATGACATACGGATAATGTCTTACTCGCGTCAGTTTGACCGATGGATAATTTTTAAATCGAGTTAATACTTATGCGTCATTTCGAATTACGCAATGGACATAATCAATGTACACACACGAAAATAATGCTCGCGACACAGGTACTCGTTAAGTTTCTCAAATCAATTACAGTGCGTTTCACTTACCGTGGATTCTTATTTTGGGAAGGCCGAAAATTAATATTCGCGTGCGACGACAACAGAAACTTTTTTTTCAGTAGTGAATTTGAAAGACGCCTTTATTTATCGTGTCAAAATAACATTCGTGATTTTAAGGCGAATTTTTTTTTATCGTCTTGCAAGATGTTAATAAATCTTTTAATTTGTCTTAATAAACGTGAATGCATTTTTAAAATATACAAACGATACTGAGCGAAAAAAGGCAGCATAAAACATTTACGTAATATATATATATATATAGGCGTTTCGAGGAATAGTTATAAAGTACGTACGCGAGTTGTATTCGATTATACGGGAAATGTCGTTTCAGAATCGTTTTGTTGTCGTTCGCTTATGAAAATGCGAAGGTTTCTATAAACCCGAAAGAACGATTCTCAGAATCTACAAGACCGAAAACACCGGTGGTAGGTACCGACGCGATGGCGACGTACGAGAACGAGGTGCCCCCGTGCACGGCGGCGCAGCGCGCGGGAGAAACGAAAACAAAGTACAAATAACAATAATAATGACGTGTTACACAGACGGGGGGGGCGGGGTACCGCCTAAGCTGCGCCCGCGACTACACTCGCGACGGGTATAAAATTAAAAAAAAAAAAAAAACGGTTAAGCCGCGTCGAAACGAGTAAATTGAATATTTGTAAACCGCATACACCGGCGGCCGTTGTGCGTGCGCGTGCGTGCGCGCGCGTGTATAGGAAAACAATTTAATAAAAACCGTTTATTCACACCGACGGTGACGGGGACGGCGACGCAGCAGCAGCCGCCGCAGCCGCCGCCGCCGTCGCCCAATACGGTTGTTAGCCGAGAATGATTAGCGGCGGCGGGCACCGCCGTCGGGAGAGACGCGGACGCCGCCTGCCCACGTAATAACAACAACAATAATAATAATAATAATAATAATAATATCCTAACGGGGTCTCATTGTTGTTTTCTTAATTAAGTCTTCACACGGCCCGTCCCGGCTTTGTGCCCCGTCGACGGCGACGACAGTCATCGTTCTCCGCGCAGACGCTGCGGCGTTATTAATGCGCCGGGCCGCGTCGGGCCGAGGAGGGTACCCGCCGTACCGGCGCGGCACCGCGACGGCGACAATGCGTCGTGCGGTCCGCGCGCGCGGCACTCGTTCCGTCGCGGGTTCGGCGCGCCCGGGCGTTTACGAACGTTATCGGTTTTGTGGTTTTCCGCCTTTCCCGCGCCGTCGCGCCGCCGCCCGCCGGCCGCCACTACCGGCCGAACCGGTCGGCGACGACGATAATAACGACAATTACCCCCCACCCTCCCGCCGCACGCAGCCTCCAGCGCCCGTCGCCCCGGCCGCGGCGACCGTTGTCCGTTGTTGTAATTACGCCGCCGCCGCCGCCGCCGCCGTTCCGTCGGACGAGAGCGCTGCCGTTCGCGGTATCCGATCGACGTTTCGTTCGTTGACGTACCGAACCGAACCGGCGTCATAAATTTCCCGTTGAACGTCCAACCGACGCGGATTCGAGAAATTTTTCGGTGTAACCGGTGGTCGAAATTAACGACACCGGTCGAATATTTCCGCACCGTTTACACCGGTTCAATCCCGTCCATCATATACCCCTCGACGTAACAAACGAACAGATATAAATGATTACGATTTACAGTGAAACCATTCGAATACCGGACACTCTCGGTCGCCGAAATTCTCGGTCCGCCATTCAGAGGTGTCCGTTATTTGGAGGAGTGTAAACGTAATTTTTTATTAAATCGTAATTAATTAAATACACCTCAGAGTTACGACATTTCGTCGACGCGATTCATCCGTCAACGAACGGACGGCTAATGTAATGTATACGTCGTGTACAGTATAATTAATGTGCGCATACGTAGTTTATTCTACGTATTATTCTTAATTTACGATTAAAATTATCAACATCAATGTCAAAAAGTAAATGTCGGTTATTTAGAGATTTTCCTATAGACATACGAGTAGTGAAAATGTTCCCGTTCCCGAAAAAACTATGCACGGTATAAAACAATCGGTATCGAGTGTTAGTAATGCGGTACAAAACGTATCGATAAACCAGTTCGTAACCACGTCAGTATTATTCGATCGTTTTTTTTTTTTTTTTGGTTATCAAAATACAAAACTCCGTTCGACCAGCGGAACAAAAATATGCGGAGTGATCCACATTTATGTATACGCGACGATTAATTGCCTAAACTGCCACGGAGAAACGGTTCTGGACAAAATTCGGTTACACGTGTTTTGATATTTCGTCAGAATTATTCATAAAACGTTCATAAAAAAAAAATCAACTACATTTACTTTCATTTTTTGTTTTTTTTTTTACCGCTAATCGCGAATTATAATGAACCTTGTGTGAAATTCTTAAGCATTTATGCTCGGTTATTATATTTTATCCGCATAGAAAACGAAACGAAAACTCGAACATGTAAAATATCTATAAATACTATAAAAATCACCAGAATGTTTTATTGCGTCTAGAAAATGCTGTTATAAAACGTTCTGTAGAATTTACAAGCTTCTGTGAATATTTTTAACCGAATTGCAACGAAAAAATAAAATCGAAAATAACGAAACCGTTATCGCTGTAAATTCGTCCTTTTTACCTATACGGTCAACATAATTTTAATAACACCGTTTTAATGCGCCACCAATACTGATTCCAAAGTGCTGCGAAAAAGCCATCTTGTCATTTTTTGATCGGAGCGAGATTTCTGGTAGAGAAGTCGTTTACAAACACTGTTTACACACGGCTTTACCGATTGATTCGCGGGTACGTGTTCGCGCCATAACGACGAGCACTTTCGAATTGTGTATCAACAGTGTTTTCGACGGTTCGCGCGGACCTGTCGAACGGTTTCGTTATGTCGAGAAATTATCCGGATAAAAAACTGTATCGCAATATCCGTTTCCTCCCTCCCTCTCCCCCCCCCATAACCGAATAACACGTTAACGGTTTGTGAACTGTCGAACAATTCGAATGCGATCGATTATCGTACAGTCCGATGGCAACACTATCGGGTCGTGCCCGTAACGCTGTAATAAATTGCAGCGCTCGCGGGCTGCCGTGGTTAATTTTTTTCCCCTTCCTATAGGTATACGCACGTCGTAAATAATAATTATTATTGTTTTCCATTACGCGGCGCGAAACAAACGCAAATATTTACACGACCTGACAATGTTGTGTGTTCGTCTACCCGGTTCGGTTTCGACTGAAAATTTATTATACTTATAACGGAACATTACCTCTTGACTAATGCACGGTAATTTCGTCATTATTTTATTTTATTTTATTTTTTTTTTTTTTCCGGCCTGCCTATCTCGGATCTACGAGGCGCGTGAAGGCAATGCCGTCGACAATACCGCGGCGTGTTCCTCTTGCTATCCGCATAATAGCGTACGCGGTCCCGTTTCACACTTTCGCTCGTTTCGCAGTTGCAGGCCGTACGATAATACGATTATGTATACACACAATTAATGTTCGTGCCGTTATCGTGCCGGTCACACTGCAGTCTCGTGAACAATGCAGTGCGTTAATTACACCGTGCGTGATATTCCGCTCGTAATTCAGCGTTTTATTCAATAATATCGATCGGTGGCGCGCCCGGGTGTTTTCAACGGGGGTGGATGTAGCATGTAAGAATCGCGAACGAATCGTAAAGCCGTCTTAATAGCCTCTTAACTCGACCGTGGAAATTATTGTTGATTTAAAAGTCTGATCCTGAAAAAAAAAAAAATCCATTTTCTAATCGATTCATCAAGCATTTCCTCGTAACTTGGCTGAAATATATGCATTTCAATGTTAGATCATTCGTATATTGTTGTATTTCTAAACCAATGAGAGGGGGGTACAACCCTCCTCCCCATCGGCCCCTAACCTTCCCCTCGCTGAACCTTGCATAACTCCGGTACAATCTAATACCGAAAGAGCTGTCGTAGGCGTGAAATTTATAAAATACATAATAACACGGGATATAATGTGGTATACGTAATTTATTCTATGAAAAAATACCGAAAACGATACGCAAATCGATTCGTACAGTGGGGGTTTTTAACCCTTGTAGCTGAGATACTCGAGAAATCGATAAATGGGCGGGTGAATTTAATGCCCGAAATGAACGATTGTGGGAATATTTTTACTTGCCAGAAAAGTGTTTTCTGACGGAAAAAAAAAGTTAAACCGAAAAGCTTCTACATCGCCACACCCGGAATTTAAAATGTATTTTAGGTACCGTGCACATTGGATTTTCGCGTGGAAAAACGGTTTGCGTAATAATGAGACATTGTACTTGCCACCGGCTAGGACTCGGTCGCTGGGGACTATTGACACTTCGAATCCGCACGAAAAAGACGTCGTATGACAACGTCGTCAAAACAGCGCGGTAAAAATTGTTTAGAAATCGTATCGAGAGGTTATATAAAAGTCACCCGTCTAACGGCTCCAATCTGTGAAATGGCGTTGTTGTAGCGTCAGGAAAGTACGTGGAGGGGTAGGGGAAGAATACCGTTTTTGCTTTTCGAGCGCTTTTCACCGGGGCTTCAACAGGCGCCCAAAGTCCCATATAAACCCGCACATAAGTCTAAAAATCGTTCGACATTTCAGACGAAATATAGACATCGAGATACACATCGCCCCGTACGGCGCACCGGCTACGCCACAGCGTGCCGGACCGCTCTAATCGGAAATATATTTTACGCGTAACGATGTTATTACACTGCGGGCGTACGAAAAAATAATAACGAGAAGAGAGAGAGAGAGAGAGAGAGAAAAAACTATGATAATATTCGCGATGTACGTCAAACGATACGGGTATTTTTATAAAATATGCGCCGTGTACTCTCGAAAACAAAAACGAAACCGCGCGCGTCTGTTATTATTATATATTTTACGTTGTGCGCGGACGTACAGGGAAAAAAAAAACCGCTTTTGCTCCTCCCGCTCCGACGACGACCCGTACGATAATAACAATAATAGTAAATTTATTAGGTGTACCTATCGTAATAATAATAATAATAATAATCGTATTATCGACGGTTGTATTATAAATATTATTATAGGCGGCGCGCCGGGTAATTGTCGAAACGAGACACGTCCGCGAGGCCCCGGCACGGACGGGCGGTTTCGGCGTGCCGCGGTCGTCGCGGCCGGCGAGAGAAAAAGTGTTGGAAATGGGCGGCCGTTTTGTCGTGACCGAACCCGCGTGCGCCGATAAATCATAAACTTTACTATTATTATTATTAATAACAACTGCATAATATTTTATAAACGGCTGCGCCGGTACGTGTATAATAATAATAATAATACGTCGTGTACGCGCCCGTACCGCATCATAGCCCGTCGTCGTCGTCCGGGTGCTCGTTCGTTTCGTCCGCCGCAGCATAATATCGCACATACAGGGCGATTCTTCAATCGCGAACCGGCGAATCGATATTATTATTATTATTATTATAAAGCGTTGTAGACGTTGGTGAGAGGGGAAAGGGAGAGGGGTCGTGTCTCCCCTGGCTTTTCCGTTTCTGGTATACATAATTTATCGTATTTCATATTGAATACATTGAATGAAATATGAACAATTGATGATCCATCGTGGTATGTGGTAGGACTACAGTGGTTTCCCATCGGTTGCTGACGGCGTATAATTGAAAAATCCAAACAGCACGGGCGATCGGGAAATATTGTTGAAACACAACAGTGTCCCCCGCCCCTGGATTTCCGAAGATGGACGCCCTCGGACTCGTAGGTGTTATAGTATCCCGTGTATTTTAAACGACGGAATATTTTCCGTCGTTTACACCGGTGTCGTAAATATGTTATCCGTAACATATTTCTAGCTACGACTCCGGAAGGAGATGTCAATTATTATATATAAATGTTTTACTATAATTTTAATTCGAATTAACAAAACAGCGTTTAAAACCGTGAACATATGGATGATATTTTAGAGGTAATCTAAACACTGGCGTCGGTTATAATATACGAAAACTGTGTTACCACGTGTTACATCCGCGGTGCGTACAGCTAACCGGCTGGTGCAGTAAAGGTGCCACATTGAGAGTGTGCAGCTTGACGGGGAAAAGACTTTGAAATGATGGCCTGTTTTTGAACCGTATTTTCCTGTCTCGACTACCACGATTTTCATTCACATCTGAACGTTTCCCGGTAGTTCTTGATAATTGAATATTATCGAGATTACAACGGCCAATCACAGTACGACAAACTGCGCAGAACACGACACACGATGCCATTGTCATATCGTCTTTATGGGCGTTGATAAAAGCATAAGAGTAAAGAATCAGAAGAAAACTAAAAACTATATACAACGATTAATGTATCAGAGAACTGTTCAGGTATTGTACATGAAATAAAACAAAGACGGGGGCAGATAAAGGATTTGTATACACGAAAGTGACAAGCGCTTTGCCTTCCGTGATTTCCAACTTTACCGATTCATAATTTGCCGACAACATTTTCTTTTGTTATAATTTACCGTTATAATTTAAGTTGGGAAGGCAGGTTACATACGGAAATTTAATGTATATCTGTAAGCAACGAGAAACTATTGCTAATGAAAAAACGATTCTGAGCGGAGCTCAATTGATAGTATTGCTTTGTCAACAATTTATACGAGTATGTCATATTATGGTAAAATGATTACAACATTGTGCATTTCCACGACAACAATGATTGTTTATAAAAATATTAAAATAGTAAAAACTTAATAATAGCAATAAATTAATAAAAACGATTGCCAATGACAATCCTATTTTTAATCTCAAATATCAATTAAAAAAAAAATAACCTCTCTAAAGTACCACTATTTCAGAAAAGATGCTATACTTGATAATCGGAGTATGCTTTCTGATAGAAAGTGTTCGCATAAAAAAGAAAAAGAAAAAAATAAATTAAAATATAATATAAATTTTAATAATAATAATAATATCCGCAACACTGATAATGCGACCTATCAATTAAAAATAATAACGTAACCAATTTATGCAAAACGGGAGTTGGCGACGTGCAAAGTGGGAATGATAAACTTCACCTTTTTCGCCTCTACGATAAGTACGCCGATTTCGGGCTTTCAGAAATACTTTCTATTACGTCTGTGTTTGGCGTTTTGTGCAAATTTGTCTGTGAAAAATGTCTAATATTTAATCAATATTTATTTTCGTAGCTAGGTTACCCCAATGTCCGTTAGTGATCGGTTTATATAATTATGAGTTTTCTTATAATTTTAGAAAACGCATCGATATTATAATCATAACTTCTCAAATCAAATTAAGCAATTATTGTTTTGTTAAAATCAGGTTCTTTAGGTTTTAAACAAATATTTAGTTTAGAATTTATTCAGCCTGTTTTAAACAGGAACACGAAAAAAAAAAAATTTTAATTTAATTGTCAAACAATCGACTTATAAATTCTAGTAAAAATATCCTGCATGTTAACCCGGAACATATTTTATCGGTTAGATGTTCTGAATTATATACAAATCTGTTCAGCCGTTTTGGCGTCATTAAGTCACAAACCAACAAAATTACGCTTTTATAGTATTCGGTTTCCGTTTATACGTACGATGTTAACACGGTAAACTCGAGGCTTTTATTTACGAACGAACTTTGGCGTCGAATGTAAATTACATTAATCGTAAATTACATTTGCGGTGCCCTTGAATTTAAATATAAATAAATAATTTGTTTTTATTTTTCCGGAGCGATTTTGTTAAAATTACGCTATCCTAAAATTCATCAAATAAAACGACATGCGTACAGTGTATACGTTTTCCTATGTAGGATATAATATTATACATAATGACTATATTTATTCCGGCTTACAGGTGTAAAAAATTAAAACGGGATAGTTGCGAGTGTAATGTACACCTGCAGCTATATATTTATATAAAGGTATGTATATATTACACGTACAGTGTATAGTGTAGGTACTTTGATTGAAATCTTTAAAATGAAAAAGTCTCATTAGTCACTAGGTGGGTATAACTGCGGGTTTATTGTCGTGAGAAACGCCGTATTGTTAGACGTTTTGTTTTTCACACAGTCATTTGTCGACACTGCGCCGCAGCCTATTATAATAATGATAATAATATGACACTCCGGACGAGTAAATTACACGATGGTGAAATAATATATATATTTATATTTTTTCCCCTTCTAAACTAATATGCCCGCGCATTAGCGTATACGTGAAACCGGCAGAACCTTACAAAAAAAAAAAAAAAACAAAACGGAACAAAACCGTCGTCGCCGTGTATCATTGGACCAAACGGAATATTGCGCAGGATAAACGCCGAGAATATTTTCGAGGTCCGGGAGACTTGAACGATAGCGCGTTAGGCGAACGAGATAATATTTAAATATAATGTTATCGCCGTCGCAATATCACATTAGGGCGGTAGGTAATTGGGCCACATTTTATCTACGCGCTTCGTAAACAATACTTTTGTACATTTTATTACCCCGGGTATTGGGCCACAAATAAAAGATTTATTTTTAAAGGGTATCCGGAGATCGGGCCACAAATGTATACCACAAAAATATATAAAAATATAGATAGTAAAATATATTAAAATAAATAATAAAAAATTAGTCAAATAATGCGATACACATGTGCTTTGCACAGTATTCAAAAGTGCCGTCAACGTAAATCGATTAATTAATTTAATTAATTAGATATTTAAATATATAATCGTGGAAAAAATAATAATACGGTTTGAATTAATAGTGTTAAATAGTAGTTTGCGTTTTATCAAATCTAAAATGTATTAAAACATAGCGGCACAATTACCGGATTCAATAATATAAAATCGTTTTTTAATAGTGGGGTCCAATTAACAGGTCTACCTGCTATAAATGTAAAATTTTTAATGGCCCAATTATCATATAGCTTTTTGAAAAAAAGATTCACTGTGGCCCGATTCCCAGACACCCGTCGTGCAGCACAAGAGAACGCGACTGTGTATCTGCCTGCAAGTGTCTACCTTCCCCTGCTCTCCACTCCCGCCGGCCATTTCTTCCAGTTTATATGATTTTTAGTCTTGTCTGTAGTTGGCTATTTCGGTTGAACTCTGCAGGCTTTAGGATCCAGTGGAAAAAATATCGAAAAATGTTTCGTACACTTTAATTTGTTCGCGTGACCTGGCAGTTGATCCGTGGTTACATTTTCCCATTATCCGTCCGATTCCCACGACTTTTCTTCACTCGTAAAGTAAAATATAATAAAATATGTACCCGTACCCATAGGTAATTCGTTTTTAAAGTACACCAGACATCTGGACACCCGTGAAAGCCAATACTCGAACGAAGCGCAAACCTTTTTTGGAAATATTTGTGTATTTTTTTTTATTTTTTTTTCTTGTGCTAAACACCTCTTGTTACCTCGGCAATCGGCGAATTCTAATGAGTTCGGCCGAGTTTATACCGAATATTGACTGAAATGACGTAACGATTGTTTTAATAATACCTGTATATTCTCGTATATATATTTAAACGTGTGTAGTTTACATAAAATTATAAGACTGCGGTAAAAACGGTTTAATACTGCAAACACTGGGACTGCAGTAAACGTTATAATAATATCTACGCACACTATACTGTGTTCCGAAATTATTATTCCGGTCGAGTTTTTTTTTTTTTTTTTTTAAATAGACGGTTATTAAAATTATATACGAAAAACACGAAAATACAGCTACCGGCTCGGAGGCACGACCGGCAACCACTTAGTATATACTCATAAAAACAATAATAATACTAATAATATTATTATTATTATTAGGTTTTTTTATATTCTTTACGTATTATCGTACGCCTTACCGTATTATACGCGCATACTATAAATACGAGTATAATACACGCTCGTATAAAATGATATATACACTCCGAAAACAATTCCATAGCACGCGGTACCCGTACGCGTTGTGCGGCCGATAAACGCATAAATTATGTGTACATTTTTTTATAGTGTTTTTACTATTAGGCCGCCGCCGCCGCCGCCGCCGCCGATCCGAATGATTATCCACACATTTTACCTGTACCTATTGTATACGAAAATATTATACACACCTATTAGTATAATAAACGTCGAAAATAATAATTATCCGCTAATTACTATCAACGACCTGTTGCATATTATAATACACACCGTACAGATAAAAGGAATATTTAATTATATTCCAAGTAGAGGTATGTATAATAATAATAATAATAATATTATTATTATTGTTGTTGTACCATATTATAGCTGTAATGTATACCGGTCTCGAAGAAACTATACGTTTATAAAATACTTGTACGGTGTAATATAGGAACGCGAGAGTTAAATTACATTATTATTACGACTGTTGCAGCGCTGCGGCGGTTAGGTTATATTGTAATATGTATCGCGACGGGAAACGTGTATAAAAATTTCTCCCCTCGTAGTTCTAAACAACAAAATTATATTATACACGGCGTACGTTTTAGATGCTCGATATTGAAAAGGGGCGACTCGGGGAGCTCTTTCACTATACGTCCGTTTTCTTGTTAAAAAAAAAAAAAAAAAAACGCGTATTATATAAACTCGGATGACATAATCAATATTGTAAATATTCTATTATTTTTTTTTATAATTTATTATTAAAATTATAATACTATTAATGGTAGTGTACGTACAATAAATACCCGTGTATGCACGCAGAAACTGCGGTAGTATTGTTGGTTATTTATTTTTTTTTGTATTTTAAAAATTACCAATAGTGTTGAATAATATTTGAAGAGAGGTGTAAGGGAGTGTGACGAACAGTGCCCCTGCACGGGTTAGGTTGAGTTCAATAATTGCAACGGGCGCCATAATTTTTCCATTTCGAGCACTGGGTGTACGCAGTATACATAATATGTGTACTGCATAAAGCGTTTACGGAAATTCACGAAACACATTTATCATAATTGTGCGCCTTATATGAATTTTCAAAATTGCCCCCCCCACCCCCGTTATCTTGTCCTATATCAGCCCCCGAATACCGCGTACACTCGTGGAGTGCGGTTCCGCACTGACCGTGCGAAGTGTACGCGAATGTAATCATATAGAAAACGTTATTAAATTCAAAACTAACCAGTAATACAATAATACATTATATAATGTTTCTAATAGAAAAATTGAATCGAGAGTGTGATAGTTTTGGCGTAAATGTTATTATGTTTGTATTATATCAAAATATCAAATTAACTATAATAGCTAACGTTGTTATTATTATTTG